CTATGTTAATCTGGTGCGTGAGCCTATGACTGACCCACACCCACACTCACACATCCCATCCACCCATACTCACATACCCACACCCACACCTTTTGGTCAGCCCTAAGTATAAAGCAAAAGTATTCATTTAATATGCAGATATGTTTTAAAAGTCCATTGTTTGATCTTTATAACACTTCCCGGCTACAAAATAACTCGAGTATGTCATCTGTTCACTGACACACCCACACTTAGATATGTTCATTTTGGATTCTATTTCTAGAAATAGAAACACATAATCCTCTCGTCTAAAAAAATAAGCAAAGAAGTATGCAAATCCGAATATATATTGCAACAATGCTACAAAAGTGCTATATAAGTTACATCGCTGTGCCTTAAGAACGAAACTGTGACATTTCATATTAAAAGTTTGTTTAGTACACGTATATAAAGGGTGTGTCATAAGTGTTGACCCCATCCGTATTTTTACTGTAACTTTTTTTCTTTTTGATCTTTAAAGCTGATTGTTTTTCCAAAAGATGTGCCGTGAAATTCTCTACAAAATCATAATCAAACTTATTTCTGTAGAAAGGTAACAAAAAAAAATTAAATGAAGATTATCCAACACATAAAAAATACCCAACTATCGAAGCTAATGAGTGTCCCATAATCAATGGCCAGTGTTTGTATCTCTCTTTTTATCATTTAGTACGTTTATTTTAAAAGCGAAGTATACCATAAGATGCAGCGTGAAAAGCTCTACAATTTACCAAGAACAATTTATTATATATAGATGCACCTTTTGTTTTTAAAATAAGTAAAATTCTGTGCGACGAATAAATCATCTTATTCGCAGCGTCGAAAATTGGTCGCACAGATATTTACCCATATTGAAAACGAAGAGTGCATATATCAAATAAGTTTTTAATGCAACTTGTAGAGCGTTTTACGCTGCATCTTATCGTATGCTTTGCTTTTAAAATAAACGTACTAGATGATAAAAAAAGAGATACAAACACTGGCCATTAATTATGGGACACCCGTTAGCTTCGATAGTTGGGTATTTTTTATGTGTTGGATAATCTTCATTTAATTTCTTTTCTTACCTTTCGACAGAAGTAAGTTTGATTATGATTTTGAAGAGAATTTCACGGCGCATCTTTTGGAAAAACAATCAGCTGTAAAGATCAAAAAGAAAAAAAGTTATAGTAAAAATACGGATGGGATCAGAACTTATGACACACCCTTTATACTAGACATCTAGATCTGCTCTACACTAGAATTTCAGCATTCTATCTCTTATAATCACAGAGATACAGGTAACTTACGATTCATTGGAATTTTTTGAGAATAACGGATGAGTTAGAATAAATGACCGCGTTTTGTATTTCATTTATTGATCATCTAATGAGTTGTATTAAAAAAAGACATATCACAAGATACAGCATGAAAAGCTTTACAACCTATACAATGAAGCTTGCTTTAATTGTTTACCTTTTGTTTTCAAAAACAAGAAAACTCTGTGCGACCAATTTTCACAGCATCGAAAATGGGTCTCACATTTTTTTGACAACAAAAAATCGACAAATAAAATAAGCATTACTGTGTGGATTGTACAGCTTTTCACGTTGCATCTTGTGGTATGTTCTATTTTTTTTAATATAACGTATTAGATGATGAGAAAATGAAATTCAAAATACAGTCATTCATTCTGACCCATTCGTTAACTATTTTAAAAAACTCCTATAAATCTCTAAGCTACTTGTATCTCTATGGCTATTAAAGATAGAAAACTGAAATTCTACCGTAGAGTAGACCTACATGTCTAGTACATGTGCTGTGAATATTAGCCTTTTCTACCGAAGAAACGTATAACAAATGGGTATTACTTGATGAGGATTAAAACTTATGTGATACCCTTTATTAAAATTTTACATACGTCTTTTTTTCTCCATTGAAAACATCCAGTTTCATCATAATGTCCTTCTTCCATTTCTTCTTCAATATTAAATGGAGTAATTTTGACATCGTCATCAAAACCAATTGTAGCTTTTTCTTGTCCAATTTCTAGATAAACGAAAAGCAACAAACGTAACTTTTTCTTTTTCGGAAAAATATTTATTTTCCTACCATCAAGATCATCTTGATTCATTGTTTTAGCATTATCTTGTTCTTCATCATCTTCTTCATCACTGTCTAATGTATATTTTCCACTATGTAAACGTGTATTTCCACTTTCATTTGTTAATTTCTTTTGTTTTTTAGTTGTTTGATCTAATTCAATATCAGTCGTAGAAACTATTTTACGTTTTCGTTCCATATTTATCTAGAATAACATAGACAAAAAAACAAAAGAGACTTTGTATTTTATTTTCTACATAGAAAACATCAAAAGTACATATATTTAACGTTTCTTAAATCCAAACTTTTTTCTTTCATAAAACAAATCTGTTTTAGCACTTCCTAAATTAACAATTTTTGGGCAACCATCACGATCTTTTTCCATAATTGTACATTCTCGACAATAGTATGCATCTGAAACACCAGGACCACCACAGATAACACAACGACCTTGATATGAACCATAATTGCATTCATCACATATTCGTACAAGTGTCGTTGGACGAACATATGAATCGCAAATAACACAACGACCATCACATTTTTCACATAGACGACCGATTGCAACACCAGCTTGTTTACGACAAAATATTAAATCTGGATGATGTTTTGCCATTTTAATTATTCAGATTTTCTCTTATCTCGTTGGCATTCACGTCTTTTGTCGTTTACGTTATTTCTCTAGATCATTGACACATGCATCTGATTGGTCATAAACAATAGGTACGAGACAGCCAAAGAAAAAAAATCTAGTAATTATTATTTATTTTATTGGTTTTTACTTTTATTGATAAGTATATAAAAGAAACGAAAGATGGCGTGAACTACCACTGTAAATTAGATCAAAATAGTAATATATTCCGAAAAGATCACTATCTACTATTATATATGTAATGAACTTAGTACTAATGTAATAATGCATTTAGATATTATTTTCTCTGTTTTTTTTCTTTTGAATAACAACAAATATATGAATTGTTTCATTCAGATATTTTCTTTCTGTATAAATTTTCTTTTTCACATTAATATTCGCAAATATTTATACGTACTACTGTTTCAATTAATTAACCTCAATATTACAGCATATAGTATGTCACATCAGTGTCCGGCATGGATCAAATTTTTGTGACCCGATCCGAGTTGGACACTACACCACGTTTCTTTCTTCTTATACATATTGACTTACACAGAAGAACTGCAGGTTTTCCTCTTTTCTCTGTATATATTACTAATTAGAGGAGAAGTGCCGCTGATGGGAAGAACTATCTGCTGGTCAGTGGAATAATTATTATCTACTCAAAATAGACGTATGACGCAAAAAAAATAATTATCTATTACGAATAGCTGAGCTGTTGAATATAATGTCCATTATGTACAGGGATGGCGCGAAGAGGTTCGAGCAGGGGGAGGGTATCCAAAAAATCGGAGAAAGTAGCTTAGTAACGTTCTTCAACGTTATAAAAATTTGTCTCTTGTCTTTTTCGTAAAAAGTGATGGCCGGGGGGGGGGAGTAGCGCGGCAAAAGTCCCCGTACCCCTCCTCAGGTTTCATTATAATTCTTCCTAATCCGCGGAAAACCTACCCCAAAATTGGAGAAAATCTAGCCCAAAATCGGAGAAAGTCTAAGCCAAAATTTTTCAAAGCAGGGGGTGAACCCCCCCCCCCCCTAGCCCCCCCGCCCCCCCACCGGCACCCCGTGTTCCTCTCCGGGTGATGTG